ACATTGGTGATCAGTGGGAAGAATGTTCCTTACATTGGTGGTCAGTGGGAAGAATGTTCCTTACATTGGTGGTCAGTGAGAAGAATGTCCCTTACATTGGTGGTCAGTGGGAAGAATGTCCCTTACATTGGTGATCAGTGGGAAGAATGTCCCTTACATTGGTGGTCAGTGGGAAGAATGTCCCTTACATTGGTGGTCAGTGGGAAGAATGCCCCTTACATTGGTGATCAGTGGGAAGAATGTCCCTTACATTGGGGGTCAGTGGGAAGAATGTCCCTTACATTGGGGGTCAGTGAGAAGAATGCCCCTTACACTGGGGGTCAGTGGGAAGAATGCTCCTTACATTGGTGATCAGTGGGAAGAATGCCCCTTACATTGGGGGTCAGTGGGAAGAATGTCCCTTACATTGGGGGTCAGTGAGAAGAATGCCCCTTACATTGGTGGTCAGTGGTAGACCCTGCATCTCTATATACCTAACCAACTTTTTATCTCTATAGAGTTTTATTCACCTTTAAGTCTGGAGCCTTCATTAACATAAATCTGTGAAACCGGGCCAAAGCGTTGTCACCCTACAACAGAAGGGGCTTCCCATCTGATGTACCACCCTTCCCTGGAACAAAAGTTTGAAGTCATGTATAGTCACAGCGTGTGCTTCCTTTGTCTATCCTCCATCCCCGATCTCAACAACTTTCCACCAATGGCAACACGTAGAGTGGCAGTCTATGGCGGCCCGGAGCATTACACAGCGGTAATATTTCCTGTGAACACACATCATTTGTCTTTTTGAATTACAGATCCGCCGGCGCTGTCAAAAAACGAGATTAGCCGGTTTCTCCGGGAAAAGTCGCAAATTTGCATGGCAGTCTGGAGTGTCGGTGTTTCGGGCCGCTCTCGGCCTCGGAGACCCTCAAATCACATCAGGGGTAATGGTGTGTTTTGGAAACGTTTCCGGCCCCTCCCAACAACATCTGACAGTAAAATTCGGCTTCACATCACCAAAGGAATACAGCGTGAATGTGTGATATATATACGGCTACCGAGCGCGGTGCGCCTGCCTGAGACATCGCAGGATCTACAGTCACAGCCCGGCAAGGAGGCCAGCTGGGCATAGCTTTCTATAAAATGAACACAAAATGATATCGCTGGTATATAAAATAGTTATACATCCAATCGAATCTCAAAAAAAACTCAAAAGCTGAACTCCGGGACCAGCAAAACTTCGTCTAAATCCATTCATCTTGTGGATTCTTCTGGAATCTCGGTGAGCTTCGTGTAGTTCTTCCAGATCTGGGCAGTCATCCAGTGTGAGGCTTCCTGTAATATAGACCGCTCACTGCTGCTCTCTCTCTTTGTGCGGGGGGACTGGTCTGGTCTCCGCCCCCCTCAAGATTTCTGTAGTGGGTGGGAACTGCTGGGCCCCTCCCACAGCTCTGCACTCCTCTACTTGTGCAGGATGACTGGTCTTGTATCCGCCCCCTTTAGATTTCTGTAGTGGGTGGGAACTGCTGGGCCCCTCCCACAGCTCTGCACTCCTCTACTTGTGCAGGATGACTGGTCTTGTATCCGCCCCCTCTAGATTTCTGTAGTGGGTGGGAACTGCTGGGCCCCTCCCACAGCTCTGAACTCCTCTACTTGTGCAGGATGACTGGTCTTGTCTCCACCCCCTCCTGTAGTTTTCTACAGGCAGTGAGTAGTGGGTGGAGATGCTAAGCCCCACACATAACTGATCTCTTTACTTGTGCAGGACGACTGCTCGTCTCCAGCCCTCTCCTGTAGTTTTGTGTTGTGGGTGGAGCCTGCTGGGTCTCTTGCACAGCTCTGCTCTCTCTCCTTGTGCAGGGTGGCTGGTCTTGTCTCTGTCCTCTCCTGTAGTGGGTGGAACCTGTTGGGCCCCTCCCACAGCTCTGCTCTCTCTCCTTGTGCTGGGGTGGCTGGTCTTGTCTCTGCCCTCTCCTGTAGTGGGTGAAACCTGTTGGGCCCCTCCCACAGCTCTGCTCTCTCTCCTTGTGCAAGGTGACTGGTCCAGTCTCCTCCCCCTCCTGTAGTTTTGTGTAGTGGGTGGAGCCTGCTGGCCCCTCCCACAACTCTGCTCTCTCTTTTTGTGCAAGATGACTGGTCTGGTCTCCTCCCCCTCCTGTAGTTTTGTGTAGTGGGTGGAGCCTGCTGGGCCCCTCCCACAACTCTGCTCTCTCTCCTTGTGCAGGGTGACTGGTCTTGCCTTCGCCCTCTCCTGTAGTGGGTGGACCCTGTTGGGCCTCTCCCACAGCTCTGCTCTCTCTCCTTGTGCTGGGTGGCTGGTCTTGTCTCTGCCCTCTCCTGTAGTGGGTGGAACCTGTTGGGCCCCTCCCACAACTCTGTGTAGTGGGTGGAGAACTGCTGGTCCCTCTCTCTCTCTCTCTCCTTGTGCAAGGTGACTGGTCTGGTCTCCTCCCCCTCCTGTAGTTTTGTGTAGAAGGTGGAGCCTGCTGGGCCCCTCCCACAACTCTGCTCTCTCTCCTTGTGCAGGGTGACTGGTCTTGTCTTCGCCCCCTCCTGTAGTGGGTGGACCCTGTTGGGCCCCTCCCACAGCTCTGCTCTCTGCCCTGGCTACTGTATGCACAACACTGTAATGATGTCAATGCTACTTTCACAAGGTGATATCTGGTTCTGAAAAGGCGTCTGGTGCACACAAAGCACTTATATATCTTTTTTGTTATAGAGGGATATATTTAAAGTGGTTTTATAGTCTAAACATTTTTTTTACTTTAATGATTTCTATACAAAAAAAAAAAACATCCCACTACCTTTCCTAGCCCCTCCCCCACTTACCTGACTCCCGCCTGCAGCACTGCTCTCCCCTCACTTCCTGCTTTCAGGGCATGTTCACACCAGAGCACGGTGCGGGAAACCCACGGTGCGGGAAACTCACGTTCCATGCCCATTATCCACAGAGCGCTGCTGCTGGAGCCAGCGCTGCAGGTAATACTGTACCATGTGATCCAGTTGCTGTGCATTTTTTTCAGAGTAGTGCATGCACTATGTTTGGTGAGGTCTGGAGCGATTTCACATTGCACTGGACCGGGATCATATGTGGATCGCACAGGAACCGGCTCTCAGAGGAGACACCGAAGACAGGGGCCATATCCTTTTGCTGCTGTCAAACACCTGTGAGGAGAGAGCAGGGTGTGGCTTACTGGTGCTGTGTGTGTCTGTGTATGCACACAGCCCGGCTCGGGAGCACATATGGGCGGGGAGCTTCCCTAGGACTGGCACACTAAGGAAGCACCTATAGAAGAAAGAAGGTGGCAGTACCTGTGGGGGACTGCTAGAAGGGGAGGTAAGGGACAGCTGTGTGCAATATCATTACCCAGAACAGGTACTGTAAATATGATTTATTTTTTGTTTTTAATAACTCCTTAACACCATCTCGCCCGGCCTATAGCAGATTGATGGCCGGACAATGATGTCCTGTCAACACGAGCCACGCAGTGGCACGATCTGTCACATGCTGTGCCCACGGGACACAGCCAATGACACTACACCAGCCCGTTGCCAGTGTCATGTGACCTGCTGTGGACAATCACAGCAGATCACATGTCAATTGTATACAACGGATGGCTCCCTGTCATGCCATCCATTGTATACAATTATGTTGTTAGCTGTGACTGGTCAAGGCAGTCACATGATACAGACAGGGCCAATCACGGCCCATATATATCATGTGATCAGCTTTGCCCAATCACAGCTAATCACAACAAAAGACTGAACGAATCAGTTTTATTCAGTAACAATGATTGCAAATATCAATGAAATACATCGGTATTAGCAATCAAAGTGTTAAAAAAAAAAAAAAAAAAAAAAACCCTGATCACTTGCCCAGAGTAGTTCAATGTTACTATGGTAATATTGTATTGCTTTGGTCAGTGTGTTGTGAAAAATAAAATAGTAAAAAAAAATGAAGAAAATGTAATAAAAAAAAAAAAAAAAAAAAAATAGAAACATTTGAAAAAAACAAAACAAATTCAATTATTATTATTTTCACGAAAGAAATGTAGCAGAATACATTTTGACCTAAATTTATGAAGAAATTTTATTTATTTGCAAAATTTTATAACAGAAACAAAGAAAAGTGTTTTTTTTCAAAAGTTATAGGAGTTTTTTGTTTTATTTAGCAAAAAAAAATACAAAACTCAGTGGTGATTAAATAGCACCAAAAGAAAGCTCTATTTGTGTGAAAAAAATGATAAAAATTTCATATGTTGTACAGTGTTGCATGACCGCGCAATTGTCAAAGTGCGACAGGAACAGGGGTGAAAGTGCTCGGTAGGCAATGGGTTAAACGAACATTTCTGTGTGTGGAGTTCAGTTTTAACATGATAATGAAATACCAATTGACAATATTTGTGCATCTATAACTTTCATTAAAATAACATCTGGCGATCCTGCCAGGAATGCCCTTGTTCAGGACCTACCTGTTTGAGCTTAGACTCACTTTAAATCCTCCCTCCGGCCTCCCCTTCCTTGCCAGGTGTATCGGCTCCTCCCCTTCAGTCTTGCACAGGTGTATCGGCTCCTCCCCTTCAGTCTTGCACAGGTGTATCGGCTCCTCCCCTTCAGTCTTGCACAGGTGTATCGGCTCCTCCCCTTTAGTCTGCACGCAGTTGTAGCAGCTCCTCCCCTGGAGTCTAAATAACCGGCCCTTCAGTCTTCCGATTATCGGCTCCTCCCCTTCAGTCTTGCACACTGTGAGCTCTCTCACAGTCTTGCACATGTAGAAGTCTTGCAGCTCCTCACTTAAATGGCTTTCTCCGATTTCACTGCACACTGTGAGCTTCTCACAAGCTGCAGCAGGTCAGATAGCGCATCCCCCCTTCAGTCTTGCCCAGGTGTACAGGTGTCTGGCTCCTCCCTTCAGTCTTGCACAGGTGTATGGCTCCTCCCCTTCAGTCTTGCCCAGTTGTACCGGCTCCTCCCCTTCAATCTAGCACAGGTGTACTGGCTCCTCCCCTTCAGTCTTGCACAGGTGTACCGGCTCCTACCGGCTCCTCCCTTCAGTCTTGCACAGGTGTACCTGCTCCTCCCTTCAGTCTTGCACAGGTGTACCGGCTCCTCCCCTTCAGTCTTGCACAGGTGTACCGGCTCCTCCCCTTCAGTCTTGCACAGGTGTACCGGCTCCTCCCCTTCAGTCTTGCACAGGTGTACCGGCTCCTCCCCTTCAGTCTTGCACCCGGCTCCTCCCTTCAGTCTGCACAGGTGTACCGGCTCCTCCCCTTCAGTCTTGCACAGGTGTACCGGCTCCTCCCCTTCAGTCTTGCACAGGTGTACCAGCTCCTCCCCGGCTTGCACAGGTGTACCGGCTCCTCCCCTTCAGTCTTGCACAGGTGTACCGGCTCCTCCCCTACCGGCTCCTCCCCTTCAGTCTTGCACAGGTTGTACCGGCTCCTCCCCTTCAGTCTTGCACAGGTCAGTACAGGTGTACCGGCTCCTCCCTTCGGCACTCCTCCCCTTCAGTCTTGCACAGGTGTACCGGCTCCTCCCCTTCAGTCTAGCACAGGTGTACCGGCTCCTCCCCTTCAGTCTAGCACAGGTGTACCGGCTCCTCCCCTTCAGTCTAGTACGGCACAGGTGTACCGGCTCCTCCCCTTCAGTGCACAGGTGTACCAGCTCCTCCCCTTCAGTCTTGCACAGGTGTACCGGCTCCTCCCCTTCAGTCTTGCACAGGTGTAACGGCTCCTCCCCTTCAGTCTTGCACAGGTGTACCGGCTCCTCCCCTTCAGTCTTGCACAGGTGTACCGGCTCCTCCCCCTTTCAGTCTTGCACAGGTGTACGGCTCCTCCCCTTCAGTCTTGCACAGGTGTACGGCTCCTCCCCTCAGTCTTGCCCAGGTTCAGTCTTGCACAGGTGTACTGGCTCCTCCCTTTCAGTCTTGCACAGGTGTACTGCTCCTCCCTTTCAGTCTTGCACAGGTGTACTGGCTCCTCCCTTTCAGTCTTGCACAGGTGTACTGGCTCCTCCCTTTCAGTCTTGCACAGGTGTACTGGCTCCTCCCTTTCAGTCTAGCACGGCTCCTCTCCTGGACTGAAATGGCTTCCTCTGATTTCATCGCACACGGTGAGCGTCTCACAATGTACATTAGAAGCTGCAGCCAGTCAGAGAGAGCTCCGCCTCAATTCCTGGCTGGAAGACGTCCAGCATCATCTAGGTCTGACTGTCCCTGTCCTCGCCCCTTTCATTAACTGGATTTCAGTTCTTTCCATCTTGGAGGCTCAGCATCACAGGTAGACATCTCACCTAGGGTGATCTATTTAGCCTACCTAAGAATGCCGCTCCTCCTGACCGACACCCAACAATCAAAGCATTTCAATATTTGCCTAAATCCTCCAAACATCCAGCCAACTGCTAGCATCAGATCAGAGGGCTCGAGAGGAGTACTGGGGAAGGGTGCTGTGATGTTTTCCGAATGCTATGCAAATCACCCTGTCGGCCCCTCCCACCAGTGATGATCTGCCTGCACTGCATAGAGAAGCACAGAGACCCAGCAATGGCATCAATGGGTTTAAAATAAGGGATGTCATTGAAACGGTGAGGTTTTAATTAGATGTCACTAACATAATATTTTTATGATTCGTGGTTTATACTTTTATACCATTTATAGTGATATATGCAATTTGCCAATTAGGTGAACACTAAAATTTCAGTCTACGTTCGATCAAACAAAAGTCGGCGGATTTCAGTCTACATTCGATCAAACAAAAGTCGGTGGATTTCAGCCTACATTCGATCAAACAAAAGTCGCAAGATTTCGGTCTACATTCGATCAAACAAAAGTCGCAAGATTTCGGTCTACATTCGATCAAACAAAAGTCGCCGGATTTCAGTCTACATTCGATCAAATAAAAGTCACCAGATTTCAGTCTACATTCAATCAAATAAAAGTCAGTGGATTTCAGTCTACATTCGATCAAATAAAAGTCACCAGATTTCAGTCTACATTCGATCAAACAAAAAGTCGCCGGATTTCAGTCTACATTCAATCAAACAAAAGTCGGTGGATTTCAGTCTACATTCGATCAAACCAAAAGTCGGTGGATTTCGGTCTACATTCGATCAAACAAAAGTCGCGGATTTCAGTCTACATTCGATCAAACAAAAGTCGTGGATTTCGGTCTACATTCAATCAAATAAAAGTCGCCGGATTTCAGTCTACATTCGATCAAACAAAAGTCATCGGATTTCAGTCTACATTCGATCAAACAAAAGTCGCCAGATTTCGGTCTACATTCGATCAAACAAAAGTCGGCGGATTTCAGTCTACATTCGATCAAACAAAAGTCGCTAGATTTCAGTCTACATTCGATCAAACAAAAGTCGCCAGATTTCAGTCTACATTCGATCAAACAAAAGTCGGCGGATTTCAGTCTACATTTGATCAAACAAAAGTCGGCGGATTTCAGTCTACATTCTATCAAACAAAAGTCGGCGGATTTCAGTCTACATTCGATCAAAAAAAAGTCGCCGAATTTCAGTCTACATTCGATCAAACAAAAGTCGCAGATTTCGGTCTACATTCGATCAAACAAAAGTCGCAAGATTTCGGTCTACATTCGATCAAACAAAAGTCGCCAGATTTCAGTCTACATTCGATCAAACAAAAGTCGCAAGATTTCGGTCTACATTCGATCAAACAAAAGTCGCTGGATTTCAGTCTACATTCGATCAAACAAAAGTCGCTGGATTTCAGTCTACATTCGATCAAACAAAAGTCGTCGGATTTCAGTCTACATTCGATCAAACAAAAGTCGCTGGATTTCAGTCTACATTCGATCAAACAAAAGTCGTGGATTTCAGTCTACATTCGATCAAACAAAAGTCGCTGGATTTCAGTCTACATTCGATCAAACAAAAAAGTCGTCGGATTTCAGTCTACATTCAATCAAACAAAAGTCATCGGATTTCAGTCTACATTCGATCAAACAAAAGTCAGTGGATTTCGGTCTACATTCGATCAAACAAAAGTCGCTGGATTTCAGTCTACATTCGATCAAACAAAAGTCGTCGGATTTCAGTCTACATTCGATCAAACAAAAGTCGCGGATTTCAGACTACATTCGATCAAACAAAAGTCAGTGGATTTTGGTCTACATTCGATCAAACAAAAGTCGCTGGATTTCAGTCTACATTCGATCAAACAACAGTCGTCGGATTTCAGTCTACATTCGATCAAACAAAAGTCATCGGATTCAGTCTACATTCGATCAAACAAAAGTCGCTGGATTTCAGTCTACATTCGATCAAACACAAAAGTCGCTGGATAGGATCTACATTCAATCAAGTCTACATTCGACATTCAAAAAGTCGCGTCGGATTTCAGTCTACATTCGATCAAGTAAAAGTCATCGGATTTCAGTCTACATTCAATCAAACAAAAGTCATCGGATTTCAGTCTACATTCAATCAAGTAAAAGTCATCGGATTTCAGTCTACATTCAATCAAACAAAAGTCATCGGATTTCAGTCTACATTCGATCAAACAAAAGTCGCAAGATTTCAGTCTACATTCGATCAAACAAAAGTCGCAAGATTTCGGTCTACATTCGATCAAATAAAAGTCGCCGGATTTCAGTCTACATTCGATCAAATAAAAGTCACCAGATTTCAGTCTACATTCAATCAAACAAAAGTCACCAGATTTCAGTCTACATTCGATCAAACAAAAAGTCGCCGGATTTCAGTCTACATTCAATCAAACAAAAGTCGCCGGATTTCAGTCTACATTCAATCAAACAAAAGTCGCCGGATTTCAGTCTACATTCAATCAAACAAAAGTCGGTGGATTTCGGTCTACATTCAATCAAATAAAAGTCGCCGGATTTCAGTCTACATTCGATCAAACAAAAGTCATCGGATTTCAGTCTACATTCAATCAAACAAAAGTCGCCGGATTTCAGTCTACATTCGATCTAACAAAAGTCGCCGGATTTCAGTCTACATTCAATCAAACAAAAGTCATCGGATTTCAGTCTACATTCGATCAAACAAAAGTCGCTGGATTTCAGTCTACATTCGATCTAACAAAAGTCATCGGATTTCAGTCTACATTCGATCTAACAAAAGTCGCCCGCTTCTCCTCTTACCTGTGTCGCAGGATCTTTTGGTCGGCGTGGTTAAAGAGACATGAACTGTGTCTGTGCAGGGCCCACCTGAAACCGAGAGACACAAGTCAGGATGGAGTCACACTGGCGTGATCAATATACCGCGTGCCAATCATATTTAGTCTGATTAACCTCCCTAGCGGTCTGATTATGTCCATATTTCTGTGCTGAAAGCGGTACATTTTTTTGCATGGAAATATGTAGTTTTTTTATTGTAGGCTGTAATTTTTAGGAATAACTCACTGAAATCTGTCGGACAAGAGTCTAGTAAACATCCCGGGGAGGATACAACTTGAAACATGAAATCATAAATTATAATTTAATAAATAATCATAAATAATAATAATATAATAATAATAATAAATGTAATTCAATAATATAATCAAACCAAAAACACTGAAATGTGAAATAGAGCGCCAAGTTCGCACATCGCTGAGCTCAGTCGCAGAATCGTTTTCAGTGTCTGATGAGGAATTTCCCCCACGAATCATTATCACTCAATTCTGCAAGTGGTTCTGATTTACTTTCGCTGTTCTCTAGCCGCTCTAAAACCGCGTCTGACCTAAAGGGACGCTTTTTGGACGCCATGGACGTTTCTCAGTTTCCAGGCAGAAAGGGCGGTAAAAATGCAGGCAGGGCGCCGGACAAAGCACTCGGGACAAAATGTATGTGAAATGGTTTGATACAGGAATGTTATACTCTGTGATTTTTAGTGGATTTAGTGAACCTCCTAGATTGTAAGCTCAAAAGAGTAGGGCCCTCCAACCCCTCGTGTGCTGTTTGTAGTTGCTGTACTGTTTCAATGTATTATCCCCTTTATTGTACAGCGCTGAGCAAACCCTTTGGCGCTATATAAACTCGATGTAATAATAATAATAATGTCACTTTTTGTCATTTTCAAATTTCCCGCCAGTTCCATCCCCCGTACGTCCCGACGTCGCAGGGAACGGAACCGGGAAGAAGACAATGCTGGTATCGGCCGGAGGACATTGTCGGGGGACACTGCAGGAGGGACATCGCGGGGAGCGCAGGACAAGGTAAGTGAAGAACAGATTCCGGAGCAGCGCCGCATGGTAAGCCCGGGTGTAGCTCGGGGGGGGGGGGGGGGGGGGGGGGGTTATCGCTTCTGGTACTGAAACTTTACCCCGAGCTACACTCGAGAATACCGCCAGGGAGGCTACAGGGGAACAGTAGTCTATTTTTTCCAATTTTCTGCATTTTTTTAATGTTACACTAAAATAAATAAATAAAAGCAGAAAGAAAAAAAAATAATTGTGGCAAAAAAGTTACAAGGAAAAAAAAAAATCATAAAAATAATAGATGAAATGATCACAGCCTCGATCCCTCTGAGTTCCCCCTATGCTCTACCCCCCCCCCCCCCTTTTTTTCTCTCTTTTCCCCCTTCTTTCTGCCCCTACCCCTTTCCTAGTCACTTTCTGCCTGTGATTCTTCCCTCCTCTCCCGCTTCCTGCTAACTTCCTATTTTTCTTCCTTCCCCACGTTTATATTATCATTTTATCATTCACACTCTCTTAATTATTTTTTTTTTCAGATGATCTTGATAGGCACACATCTAATTTTGGTAAACAAGATGTATACTCCTTGAATTAATATAAGGCTACTATAGATCCTGATCCGTAATCCCCTTCTAAGTAGATTTACCTGGTTTTGTGCCACGCTTCATCTTTCACTGACAGGGGCGGACTGACCATTCGAAAACTCGGGCACTGCCCCAAGGCCCGGGGTCAGTAAGGGGTCCCATGAGATGCCCCTGGTACCTTTCATAGGCTTTTTTGGGTGTGCTTTGAGTGTGGGCGAGGATACAGGGGCCCCATGATCCACTATTGCCCAGGGGCCCCATGAGTTGTCAGT